ATTCTGAGATTTTCGGTTGTTTTCCCTCGGTAATTCCAGGAAAATTATCGGATGGTGTTCAAACACAGGCCGCTTTCTTTCACGAACTCTACCGTATAATTTCGCCTCCTCTCGCCACACAATAATTGCTCAGCTGGATATGAAATCCCACACTGTTACATAGCCCAAAGTTTCACCGTTGTCTTCGAGAATGCCCGTGATTCTTTCAACATTAATCCTGATTCACCATTCAAAATAACCCAACAGTTGATACAGCTTTGTTAAATAAGCCAAAAAGCAATTATGAATTACCTCATGTCTGAAGGATTATAGTTGTTTCCCCTGCGACTAAGTCATTTCCCAGGAGTCTTCAAAGTAAAGGCTTCGATCTGCATGGAGGGTCATCCATGATAGAGCCCCCCTCCCCTCAAAATTCTGGGGATTATGATGAAGAGCACGATGATTAACGGTCATAAATAATGAGCATCGTTTTCTGGTGAAATAAATCAGGAGAAAATGTGGTTATATGCCGCTCTTACTTTCATGTATTTATTACATTGTTGTGTCTATACAAGAAGGTTGATTCCACTATAAATTACATACAGAAGAGTTTCATCGAATATAACGTTGGCACACAATAATAATAATAAGAATAATAATAATACAAAATTATGATTTCTCAACTTGATACAGTCTTTTTATTTTATTTCTGGTGAAATGCATGGATAGCCACAGCATCTCGGGCTTACTAAACTTTATCTAACAATATATCAGTTCCTTTGGGAAGGAACAGGACAGACTTGGAGAGGAAACAAAGAAGAAATGAAGGAAAACAAGGCATAAATTATTCCCTTCCCCAAAAAGGACACTTTGGAATGGTCAGAAAGCTAAATCCTTTCCCGTTATAGCATTCTGTGACCACTGCAAGGCGCAAACTATTAGCTGTGTTTGTGTGGGCTGCATCTGAGGATCTGCCAGGGTTCGAAAGTATATATCGCAAAGGTCAACTCACGGCTTTGATGTAATAACAGGCCAAGTCCCCCTAATTTTATTGTCTATCCATTAGAAACCTTAAAGCTTACTCAGAGGGTTAAGCTATTTCCCACTATTTAACGATCCCTTCAAGTTCACATTAAAATTCGCAATTGGAACATATCTTATGCCAGCTGAATCCAGTCCACACCTCCATACCCGTTTTCAAAATAAAAAAAACTCCGTGGTTTTAGTCCGCAAGCGAACTATACCGACCGAGAGATCGCAGACTGTCAGCGAAGTAGTGCCAACTTTACGCCTCTGTGGTCTGGTGATCAGAGTTCCTAGCTACAGATCCAGGGGTCCGGGTTCGATTCCCGGTGTTACCAGATTTTCTGAGAAGTAATGGGTCTGGAACGGGGTCCTTCATGAGGATAACTGAGGAGCCATTTCAAGGAAACAGCGGCACCGGTCTAGGAAACCGAAATTAACGGCTGTGAGGATTCGTTGCGGTGACCACGTGACACCCTCTATCCATATCCGCTTTCACTGCGATTAATTGTAACTTTATCCTTCCATTTATTCCGAAATTTCCCACGCGGTCTCTTGATATTTCTTGACCGAAATTTTGTAAGAATTCTTGATTCGTATATTCGTCCTAGATATCCTGATGTCTGACCCTACATGTTTAATCACGCTATTCTTCCATTTTTTTTATTGCTAGTGCGGTGGGACTAAGTTCCTTGTACTGCGGCCACTTCTGGCCTATTGTACCAGCACCAGATGACAGGTGAGGGTGATTGCGGAGCAACTGGTGGAATTAAGATTCGCAGGGGAACCTGAGGTACTCGGAGAAAACCTTCCCCAGCGCCACTTTGTCCACCACAAATCCCACTTGACCAGACCCGGGAACGAACCCGGGCCGCCGCGATGGGAAGCCAGCGACTACGCTTGAGCTATGGCGCAGCCTTAATCACGTAGTAATATGCTAAGAGTACAAAGTATGAAGCTCTTGGTTGCTGCATCTTATCCGTCCTCGTATTACTTTCTCTTTCTCAGATCCGTATATCCTCCTCAGCAATTTAACTTTCAATGTAGCACATCCTTTATCCTCCTTCACTCGATAAATTATTCTCCAATTATACCGAGTCATTAAATAAACGAAGGAACAAGCTGCATTTTGTTTGTAGCCAGAAACTTGTTACCCGCAGAGCATCGCTCTGTGAATACCTTAAGCTGAGAAGCACATTTCTCTTAAACAAATACATTTTGGTGAAAGTTGAGCACCATATTTGTAGAGAGGCTTTGATCACGACTGAAAAATTCCAATGCTAGCACAAGAAGAAGGACATCAAACGTAAACAAGAAACAGACTCGATGTTAAGTCAATAATTTAATTTAAGAACAAAGTACAACGTGTCTAAAATGAAACATGAATTAAACGGAGACCCACATTTACCGGAAAATATCTCAGGTCCTGAAGATAAAGTGAAACCCAATGTAAAATGATCTGTAATAGATATGAAATATTTGGCGTGGAAAAGCAAAAGAAAAACAAGAATGCAATAGGGAAAAGTCTGTTTCAGTATTCAGAAAATCGAGTCTCATCGTCATCAAAGTATGGAGGGTACTATAGAAAAGATAGAAAGGACAAACGAACATGTGTAGATTAAGCTGGTCTGGGTGTAATGCCCCAAAATACACTGGGTTAGAATCCACCCACAGCCGTGGGAACATCGGATTCAGCACGAAAATGTCTACTACACAGTGCGAGTGTGGAATATGTGCTTAGCATAAATCTATAGGATCGATTTGTATCTTGTATGCATATGGGGTACGAGTTGCGAAATGATTCTTTTGTCTAGAAATAATGATCCGTGCTACAAGTAAACTAGTCACAAATGGGAGGGGGGGGGGAATGTCAGTTTTGGGGAAGGGAGATTTCATTATAAGCAGGTTTTGCTGTACTTTATATTACTCTAAGTTTATTCCTACCGCCTCTGTTGTATAGTGATCAGAGATCCTGGCTACAGATCCAGAGGTCGGGGTTCGATTCCCGGCGCTACCAGATTTTCTGAGAAGTAGTGGGTCTGGAACGAGGTCCACTCAGCCTCGTGAGGATAATTTAGAAGATATTTCAAGGAAATAGCGGCTCCGATCTAGAAAACCTAGATTAACGGCCGTGTGGATTAGTTGCGCTGACCACGCGACATCCTCTATCCGCTGAAGTCGGCACCAACTTCACCGACAAGCGACGGTCGCTCGGTCGGCATAGTTCGCCTGCAGACTAAAACCACGGAGTTTAGTTTAGTTTTAAGTTTATTCCGTGTAATACAAACGTCAGTAGAGCGCCTGATTTTGGGATGAATAACCTGTTGTTCGCTTCCCGTCAATGTCACAGATTTTCGTATTCGCCACCACTGTGTCCTCAGCCCGGGGCCCGCTAAAATCAACATCCAACCCATAAAACAAGTGTTCTTTCCATAATTTAAAACACTCATGGGTTAAAGGTCTCCATCTATTGCCGAGGTCAAGAATGGATGGAGTTTCATCTCCATTCAGCATACGCCTTCTTATGCATATGGGAGGCCTCTATATTATAGGAAGATATGTAGGTTTGTCGATAGCAGAAACATAAACAGTAAAAGCAAAAATACGTAAAAGACGAAGCACTTTGACACCTGAAACATGTCGGATACCTGGGTGGCAGGATAAATAGCACAGTGCACAACAAAAACTTGTTATTACTGTTAAGAAATACAATAGAAATAATGGAGGATTGAAAGACATTTGGACGGACAAATGAAGAGGACACCCCAAGTAAGATTTCAGTTTACTGGGTACATTTAAATAACAGATCTTGTGGACACGAGTGAGTGCTAGGCCCTTACAGATGAAGCAAATTAATACATCAAGAAGTATCTGGTTATATGCAAACAGCATTCCTTGCACGCGTGGAAACGAGCCAGCAAAGAGACATTTTGCATCCAAAGCGAAAGAAAGGTGACCACTGGGAAACAAAGCAGAGGGAGCAGTTTCTAAAAAAAAAAAAGGGGGGGGGGAGCTGTTCAAGAGCTATCAGTTATTCACACTGAAAGAACATACTGTGTTTGTGTGTGTATAGCAAACGGAAAGAACGGAAAGTAAACTCCGTGGTTTCAGTCCGCAAGCGAACTATACCGACCGAGTGACCGCCGCTTGTCAGCGAAATTAATACAAAACTGAAAATGTTATTCGGCTAAGTTCTGACTGCTCCTCTCAACTGGTGGGAGCTCCATCCGTCTTCATCACACCCAACAGTAACTACAATCCATAAAAATTCCAATGTATATATAATTATTATTTTGCGATAATAAAACGTTCTCTATTCTATTACAGAAAAGGAAAAATTCAGAAATCTCATATTAATAATAATATAGGGTATTGATTATATGATGCTACCGCGCCAAAAGAAGCCCGTCGAATTCCGCGATAAATCCAGCTCAATACACTATCGCGGCGTCATAAATTGAAGAACCTGTAAATCGACAAGGCTGTGGCCACACTGAATTTGTTTCATGCTTTTCCCACCCCTGTTCTAAGGGGTTTGCATTTAAAAGCAGACAGTGGTACACTAAGGCTTGCACTGTCTTCGCTCGCTCGCAAGCCGGGATCATAGATTCGAATCCAACTCAGGGCATGGATGTTTGATGTGTGTGTGCGCGTGTTTTTCCGTATTTGTGTACAGGTAGAGGCCTTGAGACGAGCTGATCACCCGTCCAAGGAGTCCTACCGAATGTCTAAAGGCGCGTCCACATTACTCGTGCTCGTAAATCTTCGTCCACACTACTTCAGTTGCTCGCCAGGCTTCGGCGCGTGAGGATCCGTATATTTACTCGTAGTGTGTATAGGCTGTAGTCGTATTTTAATTTATTGGCTATAGTTTTTAAACTACAAATTTAAAATTTGCTTGTCTCGTGACTTGTCATATCGTCCTCATTACCAGCGAGCATAGCGAGTCACATTAGCACGAGTAATGTGGACGCGCCTTAATATCTGGTAAACCGAAGTGAAACGAAGAGATTCATGGAGGTAGGCCAAGGCTCAAATCGGGGCTGTAGCGCCAAAGGAAAAAAAAATGGTACAAAATATGGAAAACGGAATAACCAGGGTTTAGAGAAGAAATAGTACAATAACAAAGTTACAATTAACGCCGAGGATAACAAGACCAGCCTTCGAGGGCAATGTGCTCTATATCTCTCGAGTGTTCAACATATCACTCATTAATTATACCAGTGGAAGTCATAGTGTGAGTGTACTAAATGTCTAACCATTTTATGCGGTTCACTGACTTTGGCATAAGCAGCATGCGCCATAACTAGGTGTTTGAACTAGAGTTTCATTTCTGAAAGCTGAACGATAGTGGGGCCATATACCCGAGCACTAACATGATCAAATACAGTATCAAAATTAACCCAGAGTCCAATTCAAACACACATCAATAAACAAGAAAACAGTAAACGTTTTCCCAGACTGCAAACTGCTAGAAATCTTCTGGAGAACGCATAATTCAATAAAGTATTTGATCAAAACTTCGAAGGTACAACACATATTAAGATCAAGATATAGTTACATTATTTTCATGTGACAGAGTTCGGAGTAGTCGCCGCAGAACTTACAGGGCTGCTTGAGTTGACACTACCTTCAACAGCCACTGGCAAATCCCCATACACATAATTAGAGTGAGGATCGCTGAACGCTACAATGCTTCCATATTGTTCAGTGTATCCCACAATGTCTGAATCCCGCGACCCTTTATCAACTGAGCCGTCACTGTCACCAAGTGTTGAATTTGATTGAGTTTCAGCAGCGGGTATAGACTGATTGTAATCTTTCGGTTTAAAGTACAGTGCTATTTTATTATCCTTAAACGAAAAAGGTGTTGACCTAGGAGAACCAATACTTTCGGCCTCTTGCGTAGAATTTACTATCGAGTTGGACTCTGATCCAGTCTCCGGAGAGACAGTGACCGATACTACTTTGGTCACAGAGCCCTGCTCTTCTATTTCTGGTGGGGGCTGATACTCAATGAGGGACCCTGCTGACGCTTGCTGGAGGTCACTGGATGAACCGTACTCTGACGTTTGCTGAGAAGGTTGTTGTTCTATGGCGGCCAAAATATCCTGTAGAAGTCCATTTGAAAGAACCTGCTCGTGTGGAATATCTTCACCCGAGCCCAGACCACCCACAGCCCCCGCTTGTTGAATCTGAAGTGTGTATCTTCCTTGAGAACCTTGGATAGAAAAATCGCGAGTTCCACTTTGAGTTCTGAGCTCTTCATGATGTAGTGGCGAGGCCGGTGCTGATAAAGCAGTTTGTTGTGATTGAAATAACGTGTCCAAGTCCAGAGGCAAACCATTGCTAGTGAGTGCTTCTGCAACAGCGTTTCCGCCTGCGAGTGTACCGCCGTCTGTGTCAGATGATGACTGACCATTTACTGAAGAGGTCTGCAGAGCTGCCTGGTCCGGAGAACCATATATAACTTGGGGTGCTGACGGCTGGTAGTTGCCATCTGGTGCACGGTAAGACTGGGATGGTGGAGGAGCTCCATAGTTCTGGTATGACCCTAAGAGACTGTTGCTTATCTCAACACTGCCGCTTGAATGAAGTGGAGAGCCGTATGCTGAAGACGGCACTGACTGAGAACCAAACCCACTGGATGGAACGAAACTTGTTGCACCACAATTGTTGCCTGCTGACGAATGTGACGTCGGAGCCCCGTATGTATCGACAGGAGCTCCTCCAAACAAAGCTAATGTCTGAGAGCCACCACCAGAATAACTCGAGAAACTGCTTGGGGCAGGAGGTGGGGACAGACCGTGATAAGAGGAACCTGACCCAAAGAAAGTGGATGAGAGAGCTTGGGGGGATCCATAAATGATGGGAGGTGAGCCTGAATCACTGTGAGAGTTGACTGGATCCGGAACTGGTGGAGGTAAATACGTGGGACCTTTCGGAGGATTGATACCAAAGGCGTTGTTGTTGGCTACAGTCTCTCCAATGGAAGTGAGCAAACCCGCTGGCACGGGTTCTCGAAACTTCACTGGTTCCTTGGGCATGATATTTGTGTGGGTCGAAGAAATTCCAGGCACGGTAAGTTCGAAACCTTGACTTTTTGTTATTTCTACTGCCACGTTCGATGCTGGAGGGGCACCATATTCATTGCTTGGAGGCTGTGAAGAAGGGGTAATTAGTGGTTGTTCTGGTGGAATATAAGCGCCACTTGGTGCTGAGGGTGGCGCACCATATTGGTCACTTGGAGAATGCGGTGATCCTCCCACACTAGAAGGTACCCCATAACTGCTGCCTGGATCAGCTGGTGGTCCGAGATCTCCAACTGGAGGTGCTCCATAATCTCCAGAAGGTATCAGAGACTGTCCTACAGATCCTCCGCCTGATGGCGCGCCATATGAACTGCTCGGAGGAGGTGACAGTCCTCCGAAGCTCGGCGGTCCATAGACATCACTAGGAGTGCCATAAGAGGTGCTCGGTGGCCGTGGTGGCGGAAGTCTTACAGGTGCTGGAGGTGGTCCATATTCGTCACTGGGTAATCCTCCAGACGGGGCACCATATGAGTTACTTGGCGGGGGTGGAGGTCCATATTCGTCACTTGGTGGGGCACCATTTAAACCACTCGGGGGAGATAGTGGTGGACCGGGCGGAGCTCCTCCACTAGGTGGTGGACCATAAGAATCACTTGGAATCTTGGAAACCAGGCCAGGTATAGGTTGCCATCCGTCGTACTTGATTTCTGGAGGGGTTGGTGGTGCTCCGACACCTGGAGGCGGCCCGTAAGAACCACTGGGCGCAGGAGGTGCACCATACGCAGAGGAGGGTCGAGAAGGAGGTCTATAGACAGGCTTGGGTATGGGCGGCGGGCCGTATTCAGGTTTGGGTGGTGGGCCGTAGACAGGTTTGGGTGGTGGGCCGTAGACAGGTTTGGGTGGCGGGCCGTAGACAGGTTTGGGTGGCGGACCGTAGATAGGTTTGGGTGGCGGGCCGTAGGCAGGTTTGGGTGGCGGGCCGTAGGCAGGTTTGGGTGGCGGGCCGTACACAGGTTTGGGTGGTGCGCCGTAAACAGGCTTTGGAGGTGGGCCGTACACCGGTTTAGGCGGTGGACCATATGAAGGTTTGGGCGGTCCATATATGGATTTCGGTCCTTTTGAGGAATCAAAAGAATGCGATCCAAACGAAAACGAAGAGGACTGGAACTTACTTGGCGGTCCATAAACTGGTTTCGGCGGCTTCTGTGGTCTGTATGAACTTGATGAGGGGGGACCATAAGAAGGTCCTGGTGGTGTCAAATTGCCACCACCACTAGGAGGGCCATACGATGAGGACGGCTTTCCGGACGAGGGTTTGGAAGATGCATACAATCCTGGAGGAGGCTGAGGAGGGTCCGGTGGAGGTGGAGCGTAGATCACGTCTACATGATCCTTTCCTCCACCACCTCCACCACTGCCAATTGTCGGCGGTCCGTATGAACTACTAGGAGGTCCTCGTGGGGGACCATAAATTGGTTTTGGTTTCGGTGGCCCATAAATTTGAGGAGGTCCGTAAGATTGAGATGGCGGAGGACCATAGGATTGAGGAGGAGGTCCGTGAGATGGCGGAGGACCATATGAGTTGGATGGGGGGCCATGCGAAATAGGTTGGGGAGGTCCGTAAGATTGAGATGGCGGAGGACCATAGGATTGAGGAGGAGGTCCGTGAGATGGCGGAGGACCATATGAGTTGGATGGGGGGCCATGCGAAATAGGTTGGGGAGGTCCGTAAGATTGAGATGGCGGAGGACCATAGGATTGAGGAGGAGGTCCGTGAGATGGCGGAGGACCATATGAGTTGGATGGGGGGCCATGCGAAATAGGTTGGGGAGGTCCGTAAGATTGAGATGGCGGAGGACCATATGAATCTGAGGGTGCTGAGAACCCACACGGGTCAGTGTGTAAACCTCCACCAATTGCACCATCACTGACACCCCCATGCAAATGGGAGGGTGGTACAAGATCTCCAGAATCTCCACCGCTTCCACTTCCATGGTAACTGCCATCGCGGCCAGTTCCTTCATCTTCAGATGCAGAAGAATCCTCGGTCGCGGCCACATGTCGGGAGGCGAGTAGCAGACTGCATAATGCCGCCACTAGACCAGCTGCAACCTGCAAGCAAGAGCACCGTGTCGAGTACAAGTTCACAGAAGCGACTTAATTACACAGTCAGCATACTTTTCCTTCTTTCGCAAAAGTAATTAACTAAATTCATATGGCTGCCTGTTACATCTCTGAAATTACTAGATGGATTTAAGTTTAATCTGTTATCCTATGTCTATGATACGGAACCGTTATAGCTCAGTCAATACTGTGATTGGGACACAGACAAGATAACCGGGAATCGAACCCCAATTTCTGACAGAAGAAGAGTTCTCTCTTCTCCACAGCATCCAGCTCTGTTCCGTAGACCACTAAGGGTCCTACCCAATAGTTACCGGAGCCTCTTCTCCAGGGGTAGAGCGGCTCGAACGTGAAGCTCACCGTTCACTTCCATTCAGCGCCGTAATACAGAATGCAAGAAGCTGTATTACCATTCCGACACGTATTCTGGCTCAATGTTTAGCAGAGTAATTAACTGACCTATGTTACGTAAAGTTGTGATTCATACTGATCAAATATATTAATTAGTATAGTACATAAACCGTTTATAATTTAAGTTTACAGTATATGCTTCTTCGTAAAGGTAAAAAGGTAAGAGATTTTCATTACTTAAGCACTACGCCATGAATACGTATGGGGGAATGTTTTCTGCCCCGCCAGGAATCGAACCCTGACCGTCCACCCCGTAGCCCGTCGCTGTACCGACTGAGCTATAGCGGCTGAATGAATATAACTGTAAATATGATCTGCCGCCTTTTTTATTTATTCCATTCATTTATAGTTTACCTGACAACGCTCTCAGTAGCTCAGGTTACATAGTGTCGAATGGCACGATGATTAGTGAAGGCCGAATTGGAAGGGATGTGGGGGAAGTGTTTGTGGCATAATTTTGAGCTACTATCCTGGCATTTACACAGAGGGACTGAGGAAGATCGTTAAGACCGCATGAAGATATTCCCGAATACAAATAAAAATGAAAAGCTTGAGCTAACTGGACCGATCTGACTCCTTCATTCATCTCTCATATCCAGCCCCCTCACCGCCAGTACTACGTATGAGGCAGCAGGGTGTGGACTCATTAGAGGTCTCAGAAGATCAGTTAAACATGTGGTGCCATCTCTCGTCAGAAAAGAGATATGTTATCGCGGAAATGAACTGATATGAGCTTCTTAAATACAAAATTCATGAAGAGAGTGAAAATTCAATGTTGGTGTCTGAATTTGTATGTGTATTTGTTTATATCTACTCAAGTTTTACAGCCCATGTTACAGTCACCACTGCCGTTTTGTAAGTATTTATAAGGTGGGGGTAAGGTGCCTTGGATTTTTTCAATTGACCCAGTCCTTCCAGCCGCACTATAGCCCTGGGGTCGACTCGGCCTCTAACAGAAATAAGTATCAGGAATCTTCCAAGAGGTAAAAGAGGGCCAGGGGGTAAGGCTGACAACAAATATGGGAGCCTCGGCATCTCACAACACTATGGACCTCCACGGCTTGTTACAAGTCCATAGAGTTGTGAGACGTCGAGGCTCCCATATTTTCTAGACAATCTATTCACAGATGGCGGTAACGTTGTCAGCCTTACCCCACGGCCATAGCGCGGCTGGAAGGATTAGGTCAATTGAAAACATCCAAGACAATCAATGTGAAACGAACCAGCGACCTTCTTATTTGTAGCATAGTGTCTCAACCAACTACGCTACCGCGTTCCCCATACATTATAAAAACGGGCAAGATTTCCAAATGGGGTCCATTTTTGCGCGTTAAAATGAAAATTACGGAGAATAATGAACTAGCTCGCTAAACTTTGTGTTAGATGTGCATAAATTTGAAAGAACAACGTCGAATCTCAGGTTCTCACAGTGGCGACTATGAAGGGAATCGAACTCCGTGCAGTCAGGTAAAAGCCCGACTTTCTGAAGTAACGTATCGCCTCTGTCCCTTGGGCAATATTCATGAATGGGAAGGCAATGAAGATGATTTATGGGCCTACTCCATGAAACCATCTCGGCATTCGCCTGTAGAACTAAGAAACCCGCAAAAATATATTTAGGATAAGTGAAGACCCACTGCAGATTAAAACGGGTACCTCCCGAGTACTAGCGCTGAATATCACGGACAAGTAAACGTTCTGTGAAACGACTCACGCATTTCGTGCACTGAAGTGGATGCAATGAATGACAGCGGCTCAAGTGTTGCACTTTGGAAACCACTTGAATGTTTGTCATTAAAGTTGGTAACATTTTCGAAAAAATGTTAATTCTAGTTTGTTCTGGCACGATATAACGACTACCTTTACACGAAACTAATCTCAAACATCATGAACTATATCGAAGATGCTCATGGCATAAGACAAAAGAAATCTATATATACCACTAATATCTATAAATTTTAATCCTTACATACTCGATAGGTAGCTTCATAACTTGTACTCTTCTCCTAGTTAGAATGATCAAATCAAGGAGGATGAGGTGGGCAGGGTATGTAGTACGAATGGGAGAGAAGAGGAATGCATATAGGATATTGGTGGGAAAGCCAGAAGGAAAGAGACCACTGAGAAGACCAAGATGTTGGTTGGTGGACAATATTAAAATGGATCTCAGAGAGATAGGATGGGATGGTATGAACTAGATTTATCTGGTTCTTGTGAACACGGTAATGAACCTTCGTGTTCCATAAAATGCTGGGAAATTCTTGAGTAGCTGCAGAATTGGCGGCTCTTCAAGAAGGGCTCAGCTCCATGAGTAAGTATGAGTAAGTACATATTCGATATTGATTACATTAACGCTATACCGTAATGATATGATTTATGCGTATAAGAAAAGCAGTGCCTCTTCGGTTGATCAGTTTTGTCAGCAAAGGAATTTACACCCATAATTATTCAGTGTCACACGGGAGCAGGTTGGTTTAGTAGCGGTAATGGTCTACACTTTTATTCGGGAAGTACTCGGTTCAAATTTCGGACCGGACCAGCTATGACGGCAGAACTTTTTTGTGGGTATTCCTAGTGCGTCCGGGCAAATACAAGGATTCTGTCTCGATTAGGGCAGGATCTCTTCCTTCCATGTCCTTTCCAATTCATTATTCACCAGTCATCCTATCGAAGTTGTACAGTATAGATACTGATGAAACAAAGCCGAAAGAAGGGCGCAGAACTGCAGATAATGCATCTGGAAACTCGGTGTCCTTGTCGACTGTGTTCGTGCACTGTGGCTGGCGTGATGCAGTCATTAGCGCCGTCACAATTACTGTTTCGAAACTATGAACACCAGGTGACTTCACTGTCACCGTGATTGCCAATACTGCAGTTCAGCCTACATTCCTTAACTTGCTTGTTTTCCTTTCATCTTATCTCCTTATCTTTCTCCTTCCTTCCTTCATTATATACAGCATTTCTTCCATTCCTTCTCCCTTCTTTTGAACCATTCATATATCCACTCTGTCTTCTCAAATCTCTTCTTCGTTCCTCTTTTCTACTTTCTTTTCATTTCTTATTTTAGTCTCTTTTTCTTTTTCCTTTTTTTTTATTCAGTATGTACCTCCTTTCTTCCTTTTATTTGCCATTTATTTACAGTTCTGACCCATTTCCAACCACCTGCCATTCTCAGATTTGATTTCTCTAACAACCATCCCAATATTATTCCTAGATCCCCTCGTTTCTCTAAAAGACAGCTCCCCAAGACAGGTCTCCACCTAACCTAACCTGTACTCACGTCATCCCTTCTGATTCGAATTCCACATCCACCCCATTGCAGATTAATTAGCAGAGAGTATATGGAACAAACGTCGGTCACAGTAGCCGAGCGGTCTAAGGCATGTACTGTCTTCGCTCGCATGGAAGCCGGGATCGTGGGTTCGAATCCCACTCAGGGCATGGATGTTTAGTTTGTATGTGTGCGTTTTTCTGTCTTTATGTACAGGTAGAGGCCTTGCGACGAGCTGATCACCCGCCCAAGGAGCCCTACCGAATGCGTAAGATCTAGAAAGACCGAAGTGAACGAAGACGTTCATGGAGGTAGCTTTAGGCCCACTGGGGTTGTAGTGCCATTTAAAAAAAAATATGGAACGAACATCTGAAAATGCCTCGGGGAGGGCAAGGGCACAGGAAAGAGTGTCCACAAATCAATTTCATCGGGATAAACTTTAAAAGGCGATGGGAATGCATGCGACCGAGTTTCTGATTATTATTTTAGTTAAATAGACTTTAAAGGATTCTGACGATCGTGTATGCTGTACAGAACTATAAGGCTTTTTACGGACTCTATCCGTAGCGTGGTATATATACAAACAAGAAAACCACGTTTCGGGGACTGGATCTGTCTCCGTCCTCAGGTGGATGAGGCAAGATAGACCTACTCAGCTGGGCCCGTTAGAAAGAACTAGTCTCAAACACTTGCCCCATCCACCTGAGGACGGAGACAGATCCAGTTTCCGAAACGTCGTGGTTTTCTTGTTTCATATATATAGCAGATGATGGATAGAGTCCAAAATAAACATTACAGTTCTGAACATTATTTCAGTTACTTAACATTTCTATGTAACGTTCAACTCCGGCTGGTACACAGAGAGCCATGTCTAAGGAAATGTTCGAGGTCGCCTTTCGTCTTAGATAACTGTGTTATCGTTTAGAACTCGGCGTTACGTACTATTTACAGTTAATGCAGACCATCAAATAATCTTCCTTTGTAGTTATCCCATTTGTGATTGGCGAAGGAGGCACAAATTAATGGAGCGTGACGCAAAAGAAACTGTTAACGCTAATTAATGCCCAGTCAAGGTCGCAGAGAGCTATTCGTTAATACAGTCTGTGTAATTACACGCACTTAAAGCGTGCAACTTCACTGCCAAAAGGAAACGTCTCGAAGTGTCTCCCTCAGTCCCACTTCCTACTATCTAGGTTAATGCTTCACGAACAGTACCCGACAGGTGCTGCTATGTTAATCTTAAGCTAGCCGGTCACTGTAGCCGAGCGGTCTAAGGCATGCACTGTCTTCGCTCGCTTGGAAACCG